GTATTAAACAAATGAAATTATATAAGAAATAATTTACTATCCTCCTCAAATTTAAAGAGAGTTAAACTGACGTTTAGGAATTGATCTGAGATCCAAGTCGTGAATAAAATCTTGATCTCACGAGCAAGACAAAGACGACAAAGGAAGAGGAAGTAGAGCAACAGCAAAACGCTCTTTAAACTAGTGTTGCACTGTTCCCTGCTGGTTCTGAACAGTTACTGAGTTTTTAACAAGACACAAAGCCTGGCCTGGCCTCCCACGTCTTGCTCGGGATCAACTGGGGCGGCGAGCAGATCAGAGGCAGAGACAGGACTTTGAGGTTAGAGCCACTCCTAGCCCTCCACCTCCACCCGCCTCGCCTGGAGCGTCTGGCCTGAAGCTTAGTCTGGAGCCTCTCCAGGCAGCCACTCGCCAGCGGTTCGACCAGAACGAACGTCGTTCAAGTCGGGATTCAAGTCTCAGAGAAGCGAAGCGGGGGAGGGGAGGCGCGGGGCGGGCAAGGGCATAAGTACCCACTGCTGAGTGCAGGCGACCCCGACCAAAACACTACTGCCAGCAGACGGACGGACCGACAGACGGCTAGGCCTCCACCGTGACGTGGTTGCAGGACCTCCTTCTCCAGGTTCCGCCCCTGCCCCCTCTTTCTCCTGGTCCTGCTGCAGGACGCCCGTTCAAACCAATAACCTACCGTATGACCATGGCGCTGTGGCTGGCTGCCTTATCCACCGTGGATGTTGTGCTGGTAAGCTGCTGAGTAGCTGCTGAACGCTGAGGCTGGCCTGGGCAGGGCCTGGACCTGGCCTCGCTCACGGGGAGCTCTGTGTGCAGCAGAGGAAGATGCGGGGGGCCCTAGCCCCGGGCCTGGTCTCGCTCTTCATCTCCTGGCTCCTAGGGGCACGGGGCTGCGGGGGCTCGCGCTGGCGCTGCACGTCGCCGACATGTAAACAACACTGCACTGTCGCCTGCACTCGCACCGCAGCTGGGGCCGACGCCTACCACACGCACTCTGGCGCACCTGGCACTGCACTCGCGCTGCAGCTGGCGGCCCAGCTGCACAGCTGCACGCCCAAACAAACGGGACGAAACACAACGGCACGTACGAGAAGACCAAGTCGAAGCCTCCGCCTCCACCGCGACTACCACCGCGACGCAGCCCAGTCGATCGAACACTGGCCCAGGCGGAGCGACTGTGGCGCCGCGGGGTCGCGGTGGTGCGGCGGCCGCGTGCAGCACTACGCCGCGGTGCCGGCCGGGCCGTGGCGAGCCCGTCAGTCCACTCCACCCCCGCGCCCCGCGCGCCCCGCGCCACGGGCGCTAGCCTCACAGCCAGCCCCCCAGTCCAACACTCGTCGGCTGCGTCCGCGGCGCCCCGGGACTCCAGGACCAACCCGGACGCAGGGCGGAGCGAGACGGCAGGACCCTGTAGGCCTGCAGGCGTTCGGTTCCAGGACGCAGCCGCCCCGGTCGCCATGGTTACCGCTTTCCACAACACGCAGCGCGGGGCGCGCGGGGCACGGGGCGTGGGGGGCGGGGAGCCCCCTAATGACATCCTTGCAGCCTGCACTTAAGCCCCTATTGCTGGGCAGCGGCAGGCAGGGCCCCAGAGCACGCCTCTAGCCGGGTCCAGCCGCGTACGCACCAGAGGTACCATGGAGGTACTGTACGGCCGGGCTCGGCCCGGACAAAGTGAGCGCGTCAGCTCGTCCAGCAGGCGCACAGCGCACATGCCGCGCCATGCACCAGCTGGCGCGACAAGCACTTAGAGCAAACCCTTCGACGCGCAGCCAGCGGGCCGACAACGCCCCAGAAGCAGGGGCCACCTTAAAACACTCCAGACTGAAAAAATGCACTAAAGCATCGTTAAGATGCTAGCTTTAATTATCGATAAGGAAATAATACGATAACCAAAGCAACGCGCTGCGACTTGCCTGATTCGGCGAGAGTCCTCAGTAGGTTCCCGAACCCATGAGGCTCAATCCCCCGCCCCCCGCCCCCGCCAAGGGGGAGGTAAGCCCCCGCGGTCATATGGTATAGGAGGGAGGGGAGGGGCCCTCCTCGAGGCCCTCCTGACGGTGGAGGAAGTCATCCGGCTGCCGACGGCGCGAGCGTAGGGTTGTCGACCCCCACGCGTCTCACCTGGGTGCAGGTGCAGCGCACACGGGCACGGCGGCCCCGCGGCCCCTGGCTGCGTCGGATGTCACGGCGGCCGTCGACCCAATAAACGGCGCCCCGTCGCGACATCTGAGTACCCCCCCCCCCCTCCTCCATTGTGGCGGCCCCGTGGCGCCCGCAAAGGCGTCAAGTAGGGAAGGGAATTCCCCGGAAGGACAGCTCACCCTGGCGAAACTCGAAGGTGTCATGGCACGCTTGTTGCACGCTTTCGTTAGGTGTTCCTGAACAGGTGCCGCACGCCTTGGCGCGCCTCCTACGGGCGTTCTGGAGGGATAATAGTGACGCTTTTAGGTGTGTGCAGTACACCTGACGGAGGCGCGCGCAGGCGCGCGGCAGGCGCTCTGGAACGC